CCAGCCAGTGAAGATGGTGGTGCCCCTTGCTGAACCAGGGCATAGTGTTAGCTTCTCCCAACAAAAAGGGGAAGATGCTGGGTACCCAAATCAGAGCTACCCACCCCTTACAGAATAGCTGGAGAGCAGTCAGATGGTTGATGCTTCAGGGCCTGATTAGTGTCAGCTGCCTGAACATCCATGGCCAGGGACACCTTTCCCACCTGCAACTCCCCGGCATCCCATTATCCGGCCACTCACCTTCTGTAAATCCAGTAATTTCCTAGAAAACCTAATGCTCCTTCAGCTGTTAAAAGCTGAGGTCAGAAACAGCAGCCGGTCATGCACAGTTAAGGAATGAAGGGCATATTTGCTGTGTCTGCATCTTTCCCTTCCATCCTTCTGTTTCACTTCTGAGTGCAGAACTGGAACAATGGACCTGAGTATCTTGATTATGTGAGCCCCCAAAGCCTACACTTTCTAGAAGTCTCAGCTTAGCTTTTTATCCACCTCTACGCAGCTAATATGAAAGTTCCAAGTGGTTGGTATTCTCCAGATAAGAAAGCATATGTTCCCCAAATTTAGAAGTAGTTATAATAAAATCATCATGTTTCTAAATTCTTAATCCACAAAGAAGGAGCTTAAATCCCAATGGCTTTCCAGTGTTAGCTTTTTCAGGAATACTTACAGGGCAATTTAGGCCTGATTATTAAAACAGCAGGTGGGCTGTTTCCTTTCCACTCACTTAAGAAAAAAAAATTGAACCATGAATCATAAACTACTTTCTTTACAAATTGTGAAGATTTTCTTTCCAAGCAGAGTAGCTTAGAGAAGTTTGGGGACCTTGTGAGCCAAGGCATGAGATTTATTTATTTACTTATTTACTTACTTATTCATTTATTGCAGTACTCACAACAGAATCCAGGTTCTATCAACTGAGCTATACATCCTAGCCTGTTTTGTTTTGTTTTGAGGTAGGGTCTTGCTAAGACACTAAATTGAAAGGCTGGACTCACATGCATGATTCTTCTGTCTCAGCCTTTTAGAGTACTGGAATTATGGTCATATGCCACTGGCCCCAGCTGACATATTTCTTAACAGAGTGTATCAGTCAGTGCTTGCCAATGAAATAGGTACAATACAAGATACATAAATATATAAGAATTTACAGATTGGCTTACAATGACCACCCACAGAGTCAGGTATGGAAGAATGGAGACAGGCTGTCTGCACATTGCAAATCAGAAGGGATTCATCCAGATGAAAGCCTGGAGCTCATTGTGATGTCCCCTGTGAAGGCTGACAGGTCTGTCCTGGACAGCTGAAGGGCTGCGGTGCTGGAAGCTGAAGAATCCGCACCGGAGCCAGGTGAAGACTGGAGAGCCTCTGAGGAAACAGAAACATTCCTTCCTTCTTCTTTCTTTGCCTTTTGTACCCTTCTGCCAAATCCTCCCTAAGGGGGCTCTTGCAGACTCAGAGCTATACTGAGCCAATTCAGCTGGGCATTTCTTACTCAAGTAGAAATCGACACTCAGAGGTGGCTTCCTGGGGCTGTCCCTGTGGGAGGTCCTGAGGCTGCATTACTACCTTTGAGGTTCATGACCAGCCTTACAACAGATGAAATTATCTTGACTCTGTGGATGAGACTGTGGAGGCTATGAGAAGAAAGTGGCTTTGCCAAGTTTACAAGCCTGCATTGGGGGAGCTGAAAATCCTTGGGCCGAGGGAGGAGGTTTTATGAAAGAGCTGTGTGGCCTTGGGTGAGTCACACTAACTGGGCTCCGGTTTCGTCATTTGTGCAATTATGGTAGTAACACTCCTCACTGGGTCCCTGGAGGATTAAATGATGGAGAAGATGTTAAGCGCTTGGTATGTTATAGGTGCTTAATATTTGTTATTTCCTGAAATTAGTTTTCATTGAATGATAATTTAAAAATAACAGCAATTGAACATGTTCTTTACGTTTGGTGCTGAAGTGACCATGCATTTAATCTCCTCTTCCCCAAGTTCAGGGTGGTAGGTACAAATTTTACAAAAGAGGAAAATGAGACTCCAGGAAGCTAAATGATTTGCCAAGACTTTCACAGTGAATGCTAAAGCTCGATTTATATCCTGGTCTGCTGAATCTCAAGGTCAGACCTTTGACTACCAGGCTGTCTTACCCTCCTGAAAATGAAGAGGAATAAACATCTCATGTGCCAGAGGCTGAATGAGGTGGCTTGCCTTTTGTTCTCTTAATCCCTACCCGAATTCCTTCTGGAAAAATAGAAGATGTTTGTGTGTACTTCCTACTCTCTCAAGGACATTGTGCTCAGAAAGCTTCATTGATTTTTTTTTTTTTTTTTTTTTACTACTATAGAGTAGCAATTTTGCCAACACCTTATAACCCTCAAAAGCAAGCCTCACAGGGTCACCAAAGCAACTGGCAGCTGTGATGTTCCAAAAGCTCCTCTATAACTGATTTCTCCTGGAAGGCAGGGAGGGCACTGGCTCCCAGCCAGGTGTGGCCAGAGGACAGAAACGGCCAAGATGGTGCTTTCTCTGGCTTTCCTGTCATGATTTACTTACTGGTTGCTGGTTCAGTTGCACTCCTCTTGAAAGAGATTTAAGATGCAATTTCTTATCAGAAATACCTATCAAAATATATAGATTCAGAGGAGATGATTACAGGGTCTATGGAATAAAAGGAGTCAAATACCAGGAGGGTTTTGGGTATTCCACAAATGAAGTTCATCCCTTAGAACAAACCACTGACACAAAAAGGGCTTCTTATCAGGTGTATCAGAAGATTCCTGGGCCTCAAGGAGTTGTCCATGCCCAGCCAGATGTGTAGCATGTTAGGTACAAATCATTCGTGCTTGTATGCTGCTATGAGGGTAGCTGGTTCTTGTGCCATGAGGTGGTGGGCTGGTCCCATCTCAGCTCCTTGCAGCTGTGGTCAGGTCCATTTTCCATCATGTGCAGTGCCCTACTTTTGTAAGTTCCATGGGGATGAACATCACAGCCATGACATGCAAACTGAGTGTGCATTCTCATGCACACTCTGAACACCACCCCAAGTGCAGCCATTAGATAAGGGGCCTCAGATTTAAACCTGGTTTATATATTTATCTGGAACATGGCAGGGGGTGGCCCAGGGAGCCATCACCCCCTTCCTTTCCAAGGGATGACACTGAGCAGGGACCTGCTATGCATTGTCATACTCCACCCTCATACCAAACCGTGCTATGGTCCTCATTGTATCGATGTAGTACCTGAGGCTTGGAGGCCTGTTCCAACCCCCCGCCCCCCGCCCAAAAACTTCCTGCCCTCCCAGGGGCAAATGAAGATCACTGCTGTATGTGCTTCTCCCAGGCTTCCTGGGAGCACGTTCATCCTTGGCATTCCAACTTCAGTACAGACGTGGACTCTGCATCTGAAGTGGTCCCTGTGTCTCAATTCCTGCTTCACTTACTCTCTGGTGATGCAGCAACATGGGCCTATTCACTCCCTACCTCTCTCCCCTGATTCTTGACCTCTTCGCTGGTGCATCCTTGGTTCTCCAAATGATGCCTGGCACATAGAATCTCCAGATAAGTGGTTGTGCTGGCCATTCCCTAGGCCCAAACTTCCCTGCTGTACATGACGATGACCAGGGCCCCCTGGGGAATATGCACAGCCAAATGGCTGCAGATGGACACAAAGTCCCACAAATGCAAGGCTTGGTGATTTGCTCATGGGTGAGAAGAGCACACACTACTAGCCTCTGAACATCACCCTGGATGGCTCTGACTCTCAGTCATTATGTACCAAACATAGTCCTTTGCACAGTCACTCTTGGTGGCTATTTTTGTTCATGCTACTGCTTCTGTGTGGTGCCATTTCCCATGTGCTTTTGTTTCTCTCCTGTGATTTTTTGTCTTCCAATTAATTTCCCACAGAAAAACAATAAGATCATCGGCCCTACTTCAGCAAGCCAAAGCCCTGAATGTTTGAGTGTCCTCTCATCCTGCCTCGTGATCTCATCTAGTTCTAAAATGACCATGCTCACTACTGTTTTAAAATGACATATATGTCAGCTAGGGAGATAGCTCAGAGATCAAAGCACCGACTTGGCAAACACAAGGACCTGGGATTGATCCCCAGTACTACACGCCATGCTGGTCCTGGGTCCCAGGGTGCACCGTTCCAGCCCCCAAACCAGGCATGGTGACACACACCTGTAATCCCAGCACTGGGGAGGCAGAGACAGGAGGATCATTATGAGTCTAAACTGCACAGTGAGACCCTTTGTCAGAAAGAATTTTTAAAATTTTTAAAAATAAATCAATAAATAAAAATATAAAATAAGGCATATGTGTTCCTGAAAACCATCGTGCGAGGCAAAATGAAGGAGCTGGGGTAACACCCAAACACCTTACCCCTGGCATATGAAAAGGAAAAAGGCAGGGAATCTGTGCAAGTGCTGCAGTGAGGGGGCACCTGCCTCGAGTAGACTTGCTTGCTGGGGTCAGAGGCCTGTCCACACTGCAGCCGCAAGGTTCCCTCTGTTCCCGAGGCTCTCCTTCCACTGCTCCCAAGAACACACCAGCTGCAACCCTGCATGTGTCAGATCTTCCGCCAGCAAATGCCAGACCTCGTCAAGGTCAAGCTCTGTATTCATAGTAGCAGTTGTGCAAATTGAGCTAAGTTTGCTTCCTCTCCATTCTGATGCATCCCTGTGATGCTGTCGAGTGTCGCAGCTCATTCTGTGTCTTCTGCAGCTCTGGTGAACTAAGAAGCAGGTAAACATTTGAGATAGGCACTTATGTGTTGCGTGTTCCTATGGGGCTCAGTTCATAGGGGTGCAGCTTTCTGATTTGCCTCATCTATCTCACAGGTAAAATCTTTTATCTGCAAACACAAAATTTCCATAGTCCTCCAACTATTCCTTAATATGTTTGTTGAGACAAATAGTGTATTGGAACACATTCCCGTTTTCAGAACAGGTGTTCTGGTAGGATTGACCATATTTCCTTTTCATTATCTCCTTGTTTATTCAGACTGGACCAAGAGGATCGAGTACCAGCCTGGCTCTGGGAGTGTGCCTTTGTTCCCCAACATCCACCTGGAGACGTGCGATGGAGCTGTGTCCTCTCTCCAGGTCACCACGGAGCTGCAAACCAATTACATTGGCAAGGGCTGTGACCGCGAGACGTACTCTGAGAGATCCCTTCAGAAATTATGTGGTAGGTTTTCCTTGCTGGGATTGAATTAACTGTCACTGATGATACATATCAATAGGGCATCTCTTAGTATATTAGGAAATAGCCAGCTCTCCCCACCTGTGTCACTGTATGCAGCTCCTAGGTGGATGTTTACTTACTGCAAAGGGTCAGACAGCCTAGATTGTGGAGGGCTGGTTCAGACCCTTTGCCAGCCCTATGGGCTTGGTCAAGTTGAAGGGTGAAATCTCTGCTCTATGCTAGTAAGTAGAAATTAGCAGCACATGTTTAAAATCACCTGGCACAGAGCTACAAGACAGGCTGGCTACCCTTTTGCTCTACTATAGAGAACCACCAACCAGGGCCAGCACAAACAGTGCTGTCAGGTACATGGGGAAGAGGGCTTGCCTCCACCTCACATGGCCAGGTACATAATTTTTCCAAGGCCCACTGCAAAAAAAAACAGGGCTCTCGCTCAAAAATTATAAAGAATTTGGCAACAGCAAAGCATTAAACCAAATGTCTACAGAACCCTGTGCAATTGCTTAGGTAACATTCTCGGGAAGCAGGGTCTGGCAGTCCACAGCAGAAAAGGGCATAGGGGTGGGGACTCGCTGCAGCCCAGGAATTAGGCGACCAAGCAGATGGAGGATGCCACAGAAGCTGAGTGTGGAGAAGCCTAGCTTATTTAGTGCCCATGGGAGGTCCCTTATGTATGTTTCTTAATTGTCTTCCTACTTTGGAATCCAGAGTATGAAATACCCTGGTTGAGTTCACACAGATAGAAAATGACAGAGCCAGGATTTGCAGTCAAGTCTTCAGCTCAGCAGCCAGGCCCAAGAGCTAGAGTGTTGCTCTCAGAGCACGTGCCTCCCCATGAGGTGGGGATGGCCCCACAGACCGGTGACTGTGCCATTGAGGCTCCCCTTCACCCCCTATTTGTATACAGCTCACTGCTTCCCTATTCTTTTCAAAATATCCCAGGATTCATAGTTACCTCTTGAACCATGCCAAGGGAACTTAGGATAGGGCTTACTCCTGTGCTGGAGTTGTATGTGAGGGGAGCCTGACCTCCCCAAAAGGAAAGGGAAGCTCCTGATGGCAGCTTCCTGCCATCTCCACCAAGAGGCCCCCCTCATTATCTTTGAAGTAGTTCACACAAACACACACACACACACACACACACACACACACTTTTGCCCACACTGCTCTTGAACAAATAATCCTGTAAAATTCTTAGAACCAATATAAACCCTGTTTGAGTGTCACCACATTCCATTTCCCATGTTACCAGGCTGGCGGGGAAAGCCTTTGGCCATGCAGACCCCAGGAGCAAGGTAGCTAGCTGCCTGGAGAAAGCACAATGCCAGTAGTATGAAAGCTACCTTGTGGGCTGGAGAGATGGCTCAGTGGTCTAAAGCACCTACTTGGAACAAGCTTGGCAAAGTACAGGGACCACGGTTCGATCTCCCAGCAGCACATGCCAGCCAGCTGCGCCCCCTGGTGGGCTGAGCTGGCCACACACACACACACACACACACACACACA